TTGTGGAGAGGATCTATGTAAGCTCTGGTGGTGCAGTGGTATAGAGCACCCCTTCGGAATAGGAGTACTATCTGAAAGTGGGGTTGGGGGTTCAAGACTGGGTGAGGATACTTTTTTATAATATTTTTTCCAGCACTTTAAATGCATCTGGGGCTTATAAACAGATGGTTTTGAGGTCATATTAAGCATTTCTACACTATTCAGAAATTATGGACCCACTCTATCCACTACTATCAACGTCTACTGTAGCACTATTTCCGTCTACTATAGTGCTACTTTGCACAAATTTGCATTAATAGTGCAAAATAGTGCAATTATTTTTGGGGACCTCTCGATTTTGCACTATTTTTCACTATTCAACTACTGTGTCTATTAAGAGCTAATTTGTACTAAATAGGTGTAATTCGCAAAGGCGGTTTTTACAGATGAGATTTGCAGAGGGCTGTTCTGGAGTGCGGCGACATGATACAGCCCAGGGAAGAGGAACGAGTCGACATTTTTGGGCTTCTTAGGCCCTGGGATGAATGCGCCCGGAAGAACGTACCTTTTTTTGTAGCGGACTTCGGGGGCCAAGTCAAACAGGATCCAAATGTAGATCCAGCAGTCCGACTGCTTGAATTCGTAGAGCTGCACGCCGTCCAGTGAGAACATCAGAACAAGATCGTCTTCTCGGATAGTGCCCGCCTCGACCAGTTTGATGTACTCCTCCGCATAGAAAACATCTTCGGTGACCTCGACCATCTTGTGGGCATTGGCCATCTCCATCAGACGCTCCACCACCTTCTCCCGGTGGTGCATGCGCTCTGCGCAATGGCGCGATCGGTACAGCGCCTGAACCTGCGGGCCCAAGGGGTGTGTCTGGAAGGTCCGACGCGCCACTCGTTTCCTTCCCCGCATCTCGTACCACGCGGCCCCACACTCTGGGCAACGATCGAGCTCTGCAAATGGCCCCGTGTATGCGACACAGGTATCTGGACACATGTCAGTCACAATCGGTACAACTCCGCTGAGCTCTTGAACGATTTTTTGCATGGCCTCGTAAGTCGGCAGGGTGAGTCCTTCGTTGAATTCCATTATATTGTCCCGGCAGTCGCGATAGATCTTCTCTGAGTGGCCGGTCGCAATGAATTGTTTGAGGGCGAGACGGAGCGCGCGGTTTTCAGGCGCTGTGAGATCCGGCAGGTCTTCATCGTGTGCCGGATTGCGCATGCGCTCAATGACCTTAGGATCGAGCCCGGAGTCTTCGAGTGTCGCACTTTTGAGAGCTTGCACGAACGCCATGGAATGTTGGAGCTCAGCGAGTCTCGGGGCGGGGAGCGCGCCTGTCTCGTCATGGATTCCGAACTCAGGCTCTTCTTCCGGCACATCTTTGACCTGTGCAGGAGGTCGCGGAGAGGATGGACGTGGGTCGGCCTCGGGCACGTCAACCTCCGGTAGCTCGAGGTCCGCATCCTGGAAGGGGAACATATCCTCCTCCATGTTCTGAATGGAGACGTTCACGGAACATCAGAGGGCAGGCCGTCTCATCGCAATAGACCGCAAGCATTACTCACCGTGTCAGTCTCCTGAGTGTCCCGTTCCGCAGAATTTTGAGGGATCGCAGCGGCAGCGACAGCGGATGATGGGCCAGCATCAGTGCGCTCTTGCACCTAGAGAGACACATGTGAACTTGTGTGTAAAAAAACACGAACATGCATCGTGCCTGTGGATGCATCCTGGGCCGTTTGGCGCGACGCGCATCAGCCGAAGGTAGTGCATCCGAAGTCGAGTTCACTGATCCTCCATTCGCAAGACCTTGTAGAAAAGCCCGTTTGAATGCCTCATCGCGGTAAGGGGCATGGTCGAAATGCGTGGTGCGCGAGACTACGCGTGTCTTGCCCTTACAGTACCGTACGCAATTGCATTCGAAGGTCCTTTTGGGTGGCATAACGTCTTCTATAGAGCAAGAGAGAGCTAGTTGAGTAGGTTAATAGGTGTAATCACCCAGAGCGAGCGGATGCGCTACACGGCGGAGAGAGGTGGTGGCACGCAATGCTAAGACAGATACAAATGAATACATTACGGGGGGAGTGTTAAGGACATTACTCCAGGACATGTCCTTAGAGACATGACTAGACGTCATGGCCTTAGAGATATGACTAGACGTCATGTCGTTAGAGACACGCACGTCCGATCTCGCGGCCATAGAGCTAAGACGGACGTCAGATGAGCGCTTATGACCACCAAATCGACCAACTTCGATTCAACACGAGTACATACACCCGGACACGACCTACCACGCCCCAAATCCATCTGAATCGTGCACGTTTTCACTGGGGATGCACCTCGATAGCTCTCTCCTTTTCGGGCGAGTCGTGGGATCGCTAGGAGCCGCATGCACGCCTGACGATTACCTTTGGGAGGAGAACCACTCCAACGTTGTCGAGCATGACAACGGGGACGGAGAAGCAGTTGATCCACCTGAGATTCCGAGGGAGTCGTAGTTTGACTATAGCTTAATTTGAGAACATAGGCGCGTTCGCATCGTGCTGACATATATATTGTGTTCTTGCAAACTGCGTAGCGTCGCGTTGAGAATTGTTTCGTTCAAGACTCACATCGACTAGACTCCGAAGCACAGCATCCGGAACATTCACATAGCCACTAACCCAGCCTCCACACTAATCAGCGCGTGATCTGGTTGCTAGAAAATTTTGCGCAAGACTTACTATGAGGTATGGGATTCCTGGGATACAGATCAACAACCACAATGTCACAAGCCTCAGCGGATCGTGATAATGGTGCCCTCCAGCGACCCGATCCACAAAACACCACGTGAAAGCATCACGGAGAGCTGGCACAGATGAGCCCATGATCAACCTTGTCAGCGGGCTTGACGCGAATATAAACACAGAGCTGACCTGAGTCGAAAGAACCCGAGAACACCCTCCTGGCGTTGCGGGAACACCCGCAGACCATCCATAGCCAGATCCTTCACGACATATTACTTCGTGCCTATTCATACAGTACTTTTTATGTATACTTAATTGACAAGCACAACACAAGCACTGCGCGCATCTACGCCTCCGCCTCCTTGATAGATTTGAGCACGTACCCCTCAAGCCCACCGCAGATCCACAACTCCTGCACGCTCGCGCCCACCCTGCCTACCGTGTAACTCTTCGTCTCCCCGCTCGGCCACTTGACGTCCACCCGCCCCTCCGCCACGCGCACGTCGACCTCGTGCCCGCGATCGACCGTGAGCTCCCCGTCGATACCTCCCGCCCCGCGCTTCCCGTCTCGCGCGTACGAGCGCGTGAGGTCTGCGACGAGCGCGGGGCACTCCACGCACACCAGCCCGTTATTGATCGCGTTCCGCTTGAAGATGTCCCCGAACGAGCCCGCGATGACGAGCGGGACCCCCGCCGCCTTGAGCGCCGTCGCCGCTTGCTCGCGCGACGACCCCGTGCCGAAGTTGTACCCCGACACGAGGACGACGCCCTGCTTTACGAACGCGTCTGACGACTCGGGCTGCTTGGCGCGGATTGAGGCGACGAGCGTGGCGAAGGCTGGGTCGTAGTTCTCCATCACGACCTCCGCCTGGCGCGCGAGCGTGATGTCGTCCTGGTACGTGTACTTCCCCGGGTACAGCGCGTCCGTGTTCAGGTTGTCCTGCGGCGCGAACAGCAGCGGCCCCGAGAAGCTCGCGGGGAACCCGTCCAGCACCGGCTCCTCCGCTGCCGGGACGGTGTCGGGCGCAGACTCGACCTGAGCGGGGTTGACGAGGGAGAACTTCGGCGCGCCGGGGGGAGGAAGCGACGACGGGTCCAGCGAGTCAGGGCTCGCGATGTAGCCCTTGATCGCGCTCGCGGCGACGACGGCGGGCGAGGCGAGGTACGCCTGCGCGTTCGGGTGTCCCATCCGCCCCTTGTAGTTCCTGTTCGTCGCGCTGATGCCCGTCTCGCCCTCCTGGAGCAAGCCAACGCCAAGCCCGATGCATGGGCCGCACCCGGCGGGGAGAGGCTTCGCCCCAGCCAGAACAAGCGTCTCCCAGTCGCCGCGCTTCTCGGCATCCAGCTGGACCTCGGAGCTCGCGGCAGCGACGTAAAACTCGACGCCCGGTGCGACCTTGCGGCCTTTGATGACGGCGGCGGCAGCAGCGATGTCGGACGCGCGCGCGTTCGTGCAACTGAGTAGGTAGGCTTTCTGGATCGGGATATGCTTCGACTCGAGCGCAGGGAGAGGGGTCGAGACCTTGACGCTGTTAGGGCCGGAGACGTGCGGGACGAGAGTAGACAGATCCAAGACGAGGTGCGAGGCATACGCGGCGTCGGGGTCCGAGCGCAAGTTTGTCGCTCGGATCGCATCCAGGCGGGCACGGTTAATCCGGGGATGTTCTGGGGGAGGCGGGATGGACGAAGAGACAGCGGGAGAGGCGAACGTCCGGAACTCGAGCCGTTTCAAGGTACGCTCATACCACTCCAGCGTGACATCGTCCACAGGGAACACACCGGCCAGCGCGCCCCACTCCGTCGTCATGTTCGCAATCGTAAGCCTATCGTCGACTGAGAGCGCAGAGACGCCGTCCCCGGTGAACTCGATAGCGCCGTTGAGCACCTCGTCTTTGTTGAAGTATCCGCAGAGCGCGACGATGACGTCTTTGCCCGTCACCCCGTGCGGGAGCCGGCCCCTCAGCTCGACCTTGATCATCCGCGGGACCTGCCACCACGTCTTCCCGGTCGCCCACAGCGCCGCGGCGTCCGTACGCACGATGGGCGTGCCGACGCACCCGATGCCGCCATACATGTTACTGTGGCTGTCGCTCGCGACTGTGAGGGTGTGCGGAAAGGCGTAGCCCTCCTCGACGAGGACCTGGTGGCCAATGCCGCGACCTGCCGGGTAGAAGTCGATACCGTGCTGTCGGGCGAAGGCCTCGATGGACGCATACTTGGACAGATTCTTAGAAGACTTGTTTTGGACGTCGTGGTCGAGGGTGAAGACGAGCTGCTTGGGGTTGTGGATGCGGGTTGCGCCTATTGACTTGAACCTCCACAGGAACGAAACAAGTTAGCGCATTGCTCGAATGACAGGACTAGTTCGGATGCTGCGCAGACGATTTGACTATCTCATTACCAGCCTTATGTTCCAACGACGGAAGGACGAGTCGATCCAATACCTCTGACGCATCTCGTATGAACGGATGTGAAGCTGGTCTCTGCAGGCTTACCGAGCAGCACACAGTTATGCGTTTGCACTGTTTGTGGTTCCTTTTTGGAGGGCTCGCAAGGTACGCAGCCGCTCTAATCGCAAATTCGGAACGCTCTCCAATCGCGAGTTTGCGTGCTCGGAAACTCTGTCACCTCCAAACTGCATCGGGCACACATATAGCCAGACATGACGCTCCCGCAGTTATACGGATTGCATAAACCGGAACGATGGCGCAAAATGCTGCTCTGCGTGCGGACAGAAAACCGATACGTTCCCCATCCAAGCCGGACTCCTCAAAACAAGATTCGTTCCAGGCTAGCGCACGTCTATGAGATTGCATCGAAGAGCCTACAACATAGTATGTAGCAGAACCCTGGGAGAGGAGACCGACATGGCCCACGGGAATGCGTTTGACGAGGTCATGAAGCTTTATGCAGGGAGCCCTTACCCGTCTAACCCGACGAGAATGATAGTATCAAGAGCAAAATTCTTTCTCTCTTCGAGATAGAACCACGCATGTGAGGCACAACCTGCACAAACCAGAATGGGGGATCGGGCAGGGCGACGAGTGGCCTGCCGTAAGAAAACATCAAAAGTTACTCACTTGGATATGACAGGTCCAGTGTTATCGTGTGTCATAACATGCTCAGGGCGAATCATCACGTAGTCCCCAGCCTTGACAGCCTTCCCCGCAGGCAAATCGACGGCATACCGCTGGACGACCTTCTCGATGACCGTTTGCGGAATACGGGGAGAACCAGAGGACACCGTGGCAAATCCTCGGAGAGAGATGAGGCTACGCCGTCCCCATCGTGCTGGTATACGCATTGGCGCAGGTACCACAGCAGATGAAGGTATACGAGAAGGGAGAGAGAGGGAACGAGATGAGTCAACCTTGGAGCACTCTTCGAATTCGCAGACTCGTGTGGCTGCACGCCAGACGCCCGCGGCAGCAAGAAAGGGCGGGCCGACAGTGCCGAGAGCAGGACCAATCAACGAGCTCATATTGTTCGCCACGACGCTTGCACCAACTCCACGATGTTCGAGCTTCGTGAAACCCCTCTATTCTCTCTCATGAGCAGGGGACTGAAACGGCCGGTTCGACGTCAATTAGGTGACAGGTCATAGAATGTAAATTAGGCCCTGACCACTACTGATTCTCTGAGCTCACAATCAGTGTCTTCCATGCGCATTACAATCCCATGCGGCAGCCTTGCTCGCTGATGCACCATCGTGTAATGTTTACATAGCACTGCAGGCAAGCTCGCTGCTTCAAGCCAATACCATCATACTATGCCATTGCTATCGTTGCGCACGAGTGGGCTCACAGAGAAAGCTTGCGTAAATCCCACTCGCACCTTATTTGCTTCCGTTGACGCGGTGGTTTCCCAGTTGCTTGTTGTCCTTTTTGTTGTATCATACATTCTAGCTGACTATCTCACACTGATATCTCGATTACCACTTATTCGACTACCACTATATCGATTGGCTCGGGCCTGTGACCTGTACCAGCCGCGATGTTCACGTCGCGCGAATGTGAATTGGGATCAATTCTCTATCGAGTACCGGAGACGAGTTGAGACAGCGGCATATGCGTACGTCTATACTGCCCTTCATCTCCTTGTTATACACCGTCTAAGGGACTGCCACAAGCAGTACCTGCTAGAGCAAGTATGAAGAGGGGATCGGGAGCATACCGTGTCCCAAGTCAGACATCAACTTTATCTCAAGATACAACAGTCTCTATGGCCGATCCCAATCCGAGTCGTCCTAATATTTAGCTACTCTGAGGACAATTGATCCGGCTCTGCGTCTTCATACTGTTAAGGCGGTTACCGTTCCTCGTCCTCGCCCAAGGTCGAGTGCTCATCTTGCCCCAGGTAATCATCGGCCGCGATACAGGTACCAAGCGATCCAACGGCTCGTTCCATAAATAGTGAGCGATCGAGCTCAATTGAGGAGACCTGCGAAGAAGGCATGGAGGCCACCGTCCGGAGACTCGCGGATTGTATGTGTAGCAGGAAGCGTGAGACGAGGATTGAGGTTAGTCTGGATATGGCCAAGTGCAGCCCAGCGGCAGAAGCGTTCCCTCAATATGCAAACTATCGCATAAATGCACGCAAATGGTGGCCGTACGGGATTGATGCACTAGCGTTCTGCAGTACCCCGACGTCAAGCTGCATAGTGTGAGTAGCTGGCGGTTCATTGTGACGAAGTAGCGTGGTACCGAGAGCAGTGTCAATGCTAGGTGCACGCAGTTGAGGATGGCCAGGATACTAGGCGAGCTCGGGATGAGGTACGATACACATCGGCGGTGTGCAGCTCATGTGCAACTCACAGGAAGTAGATCGTTCCTTGTTGATTCTCGTTAGTGGTTATGTTCGTAGGCGATACGCCCGCTAGTAGACCAATGCTCACCGTCCACCAAGAGTATGTGAGAAACGGAGCCCTTTATAGAACGAATGTGGGCAATTTCGCCGGGGCGTGCAAGAGTGAACCATGTGGCACCGATTGCAATGCAATCTGCTGCAATGAGGCACGAGCGCGCAACGATGATTACTGAGATGGTCTTTCATCAGTATGAACCATAGTGAACATGCGTGCGCACTTGACGTCTATCACAAGCATTATCGGCTTCAGCTGAGAAATACGGGAAATACTGTATGGGAGGACAGACTTTTTCACAAGGTCGATAGACTCGCCGTCAATCCCGGTACATCCAGCTGGAAAGAGGTTTTCGCCTGTCAGTCCGAACCAGAAATGAACCTACCGGCATACAAGCACTCAGTAACAGTTAATGATATTGCGTATGCAGGTGAATCTCACAAAGTTGACTCCGGCAGATACGCTGGATAAGACGAATGTGATGGAGCCGAGAAGGTAGCTTCTCCGGAGGGCATAAACGCGTATTCCCGTAAAAGCTAGGCACGTCAAAGCGTTACAAGTCAGTCAGATTGAACCAGATTGAACCGAATGTATGCGCCCGTGCTCACCGGCAGGGATTAGGGGAAGTGAGAAGTCCACAGCAGTTTCCCCCCTTACGGAAGCACTGCAGCTAGGTGAATATATCCGTCGTGAGTATGCTTGCTCATCGCAGGTCCTGAAAGTAGACCTCACCCCTGGCGAAGGTGCAGGACTCGTTATCGTCAGCAGCAGCGGACGGTCAAAGAATTATCTCCTACCTTGCTCGAGATTTTCCCGGATCCGGCTGCAAGCTCCCAGACCAAGTCAAGCATGGTCATGTATTTGATCAACCAATATAGGATGGCGGCCCCAGTCACCCGTCTTCCCCAGAAACATCGTATCTCTTCCCCTGTTGTGATAATAGAGTCGTACAAGAAGAGAGCTATGGCGGCGACAGTCAGGATGCAATGTCCGAAGGGCGGCGTGCTGGACAAAGTCGGGATACCTGATTCGGCCACAAAAATGTAGTTCGAGATTGGACTAAGGAGATGGAGGAAGAGTTAGTGCAGATTGGCTAGGGCTGAGACGTGAGGGTAGGCTGCTTACTATGGATTATACTCCACGGCAATCTGCCCTGCCTGCGAGGAAGCCATATGGTGTAACGATTCGAGTTCTGGGAGAGCTCACTGGAGACAAGCTGGGGAGGGAAACGCAGAAGGCGTGTTATATGCTGCTGCTGAATAAGGTGTCAGAAGATGTCCGCAACTTCGTTACTCCGGACGCCGATGGAAGTCGCCCTCGAGTGTGCTGTCTCTCGCTTGTTTAGCACTACCTAATACTTACGGAACGCAGCGCTCCGGCCTCTCGGATGGTACAGCGGGGACTCCACGCAGGTACTGCAACGCTTGGGACAACAGCAGCTGGACGGGTAATTGGCGTGAGACTGGACGGACAAAATATCCAACAAGCACACGCGTCCAAAAATGACAGATGGGCGCAAGGTGTTCAGCCATTTCGCATCGATGTGGCACTCAAAACGTACCAGATGTGTTCTTTATGCGAAGACATACCATTCGTCATGGAGAGTGGCCGGAACCTGTGAAATAGTGACAGTACAATAGTCATTATATGAAAGTGGCCTGGATCAGCAAAGTTGTGCATACCGGTCAGTCGAAATCCTATACGAGCGCGATCGGCAGCTGCCAGGCGTTCGTCATGAAAGAGTACAGTGTATCTCGTCCCTTGCGTTCCGCGTGCACACGATGATCGCGCATTTTATGAGACTATAGGCGGTAAGTCCTGGTGAAGTACCAGTGCCAAGGGAAGCTAGCAATGGACGATGCAGAGAGGACGGCAGGATCGCCAGCTGCATTCGCCCAAATCCGGTCCGGCATTCGCCGCTGTCCTCTACAGGGCCAGCTCCTCGCCGACATCGACCACCTCGAAACTCTCGAAGGCCTCCATGAATCTCTTCCACCTCCCTCCATCCCATGCCCTGATGTCTGCCCACTCCTGGCTGTCCTCCCCACAGCACTTCTTGAACCACATGAAGAATCCGGCAACGGTGATGTCGGCATAAGTTATCCCTGCGTCGTTCCCCGCGAAGAAGAGCTTGTCTTTCCCGTCCATCTCCAGCCACTTAGCGATGTTGTGTATGCCCACTCGATTCTTCTCCCAATGCTGCGCTCTCTTCTCGCTCCCCGGTTCGATCTCCCCCGGCTTCCCCAAGACCTTGTCCCGCGTCTGACGGAAGAACGGCCGGCTTCCCTCTCGGAGTACGTCGTACATTGCGGCGCAGATGATGTATCCATATCCCGGCTCGAACACCGACCAGAACGCGTCCTCGAACGCGGCGGTCAGCGCATCCAAGTGCGGGGGGATGAGCGTGGGGGTATCTGGGTACGTCTTGTCGAGGTATTGCGCAATCGCGGCGGAATCGGACAAGACCGCGCTCGTGTTTGGGTCGTGGATGACGGGCAGTGTGTACAGCGGGGTGCCGTCGCGGCGTTTCTCTGCGGCAGTCGCGCCTATCGTCTTGCAGAGCGGTTCGATGTCTGGGTATTCGACCCAGACGGTCTTGTACGGGAGGCCCTTGATGTTCAGCGAGAATCTGCCGTCCAGCGCCGTGTATGAGCGATCGCGTTATGAGGTGTGCCATGGCACTGTAGGGTTCTCACCGAGTCTTCCATGTATTTGGAGACCAGGCCATGTCTCTGGCATTGCTAGGTATGTCGTAGAACACGATCGGCTCGCTCATATCTGGTGGTTGATGATAGAGCGAGGGAAGGATCGCCATTCTGTCACCCCGATATAGGTTATTGCATCCTCCCTGAAATTCACAGTTACTACCGGATAATCCTACATCTGCGTCTACGTAAATACTATACAAGCGTGCAGCGCCTGTCGCACCAGCTGACGATGGGGTTCACCAGGTCCCACGTTCTCTACCGTCTGCATCTCCGACAGCCTGCCTGGTATTGGTCGCAGCCAACTGTTCTCCCAACGATGCAATGTCCGCCGCAAACCTTACTCAATGAACGATTCGTCTGAACGCCAAAGACGTGCGGGCTAGTTTCCTCGACGCTCACTCTGGGCCGCACGACGCGAGCTGTGCGGAACAAATATTTCCGCTAAGGACCATGTCGCCGGTCAGCGTACACACGTGAGGCATCCACCCGTGTCTTGGCCACTCACCGTTCTCCGAGTACCAATCAGCCTTAGGGTTGTATACGAACCGCAGCAAGCCAGCTTCCCGGATTCGACGAAGCACCGCCTTGTGCAGTGTGACCACTGGCTGCGTGCCCCACCCCCAGTCGTATGCCACGATCTCCAGCGTGACGCTCTCGAGACGAGACAATTTCCCGGCCGGAGCGGAGAGCAGCTCATCCAGGCTGTCGAAGTCCAGAGACCGCACGGGGGAGAGCCGGTCGTCGAACGCCAGATACTTGGCAGGCATCCTCGTCCACATACGGATCCCGATCGCGCGGAGAGGTGGGGGCGAGCGCTGCGCGCCGATCGGCGCGAGGATGGACGAGAAGAAGGTGGGTCTGAAGGCGTCGGCGCCGCAGTTGTCTTTGATGCCGACAGAGAGGTACTCGAGCGCGCGACATTTCGCCAGCGCGGACCCGAGGCCGGTGAACGTCTGACCTGTCGTGCAAGGAAGGTATAAAGTGAACACTTGAATCGGGGCTGTACGCGTGCACGTGGCCCCTGCCACTCACCCTGAAGATCCCACATACTGGACGCGTCAACGACGACGCTGACGTTCTGGAGGCTCGGGGCGAGTGCGGAGGACAGAAGGCTGCACAGCTCCAGAAGGTCGTCTGTAGTGCCGCAGCCTACCGCGAGTGCCGTCAAGGTCCCTGGATTGAGCCCCCGCTGTAGGAGACCGTACCGTACGGCCGAGGGCGCCTTGCCATTGATGATCAGCTGCGAGAGCTCGAACGTCTGCCCGTAGTAGATGCTGTGGAGATTGACCAGCGAAACAGGCTTGGGCTCTTGCAAGTCGATGAGTTCCAGGCAGTGCACGTCGAACGCGGTGAGCAGGGTGCACCGGTGGAGCACTAACTTCTTCAGTTTAACCGGAGGCCGTCTCGCGTTCGCGAACGTCCATGGCTCTCTGTGTTGAGAACCACTGATGTAGAGCGTCTGTAGGTTGGTTAAGGAGGGCAGTATTGATGTGAGGGCGATGAGATCGGTGAGAGAGCGCTGTGCAGTGAGGGAGAACATATAGCAGCGCAGCTCCTGGATGCAATTCGCAAGCTGAGGGTGGGTGGCGCAGAAGTGAGTGAACTGTTCGCTTTCTCCCCTGGCCATGACGGTAGAGAAAAACCGGCGGTTAGAGAGATGGCGCCATAGCTTGCAGACCCGGGTGCACGCTGACAATGACCAGCCGGCATCTTTGAGAATCCCAAAGATCTCGTCGAATAGTTCTGTGGGCAACATATCGTTGATGAGACTCCGGTGGGCGATAGGCGGGTCGGTAGTTCCTGAGTCCAAGAGTCCGACTTTGTCGCTTGTCTGTGCAGCTTGCGTCTCGGGGTTGACCGAAGATATCGTACGGCTCTTCCGCCGGCCCAGAGCATACAATCGCAGCCATTTCACCCTGCTTTACTACAAGATTTAGATTGGATGTTCCTCCGAGGATTCGAAAGTACCCTCACCGCATTCTGGTCAACTTTGATCTTGGGCGTAAGTCGCAGGTGTTGAGTACCGAGGATAAGCTCTAGGAATCAACCGACTTTGCATGTCGCTGCGATCTGTCTAAGAAGCTCACACAGCAACGGGCCCTGTGCTCTTATCCTGCATCAAACTAGATGTCTACCCGGGGCGAGGGCCCGCCACAAGCGCCAATGCCCCATGCTCGATGATGGCGCCAGCGCCGTAACTGCAGTACTTAAGTAGTACTTACTTGGGGTAAGTACTACTTAACTTACTTGGAGTAAGTACTACTTAACTTACTTTGAACGCAAGCGATTACTTTTGTCCAAACGCTGCAGGCTTGCACAAGCTTGAACCCCAGTGAGAACTTACATGGGCTCAGCTGTATAAGGTCGATTCGTAGTGTATGACGTCGGGAAACCCGACCACACCCATAATTTGGCAGTACACCCTACTTCCACTGTATGTCGTTGTATGAAGTTGGGTGGTCGCCCGATACCAACCAAACGCCGTTGGACTGGGTCGGGCGCGGCCGTTTTCATTGGGTTAGGCGTGGTTGCTGTCGAGACCCTTTGTATCAGAACATTGTCGCATCATCGTATGCTATTGTATATCGTTGTATTGCTACACAGTATAATACAGCTACATTCAGGTGTCATTGAATACAGGGGGAGAATCCCGGATGCCGTTGGATCAAGTTGGGGTCAGCCGGTGGTGCCCATGGGGCGCGCATGCAGCGGCGTCGACCCCGCCGCCAAGAAAGAGACACAACCGCGTGCAAGAGACACAACTGCATGCAAGAGAGACCGCCGCCAAGAAAGAGACCGCCGCCAAGAAAGAGATCGCCGCCAAGAAAGAGATCGCCGCCTGCAAGAGAGACCGCCGACTGCAAGCGAGACCGCCGACTGCAAGAGGCAATGGGACTCAATAGCGGTGCTAGAATCGTACCATCTATGACGCAGGAACGCGTCCGAGCCTCTATGCCAAGATAATGGTGAGTAAAGGCAGGCCACACATGCAGCTGAACGCACCTGGCGCTCGGCCCGACTCAGTGACTTATAATGGGTCTCGAAGGCGTCCTGCGTGCCCTCCGTCTCCGTGTACCATCTCCGTGCATATATCCACCTGGAAAGCACGCGTAAATGAGATACTTGAGGGGATCAGTGCATGAGCGAACAGTACGTACTTGGCCCCTTGCATATCACCTGGGGGAGGCCAATGCGACGTCTTGCGAGGTGCACGAGTTCTTTTCGGCACAGAGGTCTTTGCGGGCTTGGCGGGGGGCTGCGTCGAAGGGGTAGTACCCCCGACAGCGGCGTCTTGGGGCTGGGGAATTGGGGCTGGATCCGGGGCCACAGAAGGAAGACCGACATCGAGGGGGGGACCCATAGGCACTTGAATAGGATCCGACGACGCCTCGGGGTGCGACAGGGACATTGACAACGGCGTGAGTGTTGTTAGCAACGCAAGGGACGACAGTGTGGCATGGGGAACTTGGATGGACTGGGATGAATCAGCAACAGGTAATGAGGCAGAGGGGACGGATAGGGAGGGAGACACAGGCGCGGCCAATGGGTCCGGCGGGGGAAGTCCACATAATGAGGAGTTGGGAACGATTGCGGGATGTCGTTCAAGCTGCAAGGCGGTCCTGTGGCCAAAAAGACCAATATGTTAGCAGCCTGCTAGACGTGTGAGATAATACAATGGACGTGGATGTCGATAGCTGGGGACACAAATGAATGTTAACAATGGACGCGGGGTGTGCAAGGCGAAGGCATTACCACTGCCAGCAGGCTCGGACCAGCTCGCTGCTTGCCCTTGAGTTTGTTGGACAGAGCGGGAATTTCTTCGACTGGGAGCCAGGTGTGATCACGGCGCCTGGTCATGCATGATTGAGTATATCTACATACCAATGTTCTGTCCGACTCCGTCTGGGTCGGTGCGGGCTTGCTTTCGAGGGCGGGTCGCATCGTTGTCGTCGCGGGAAAGCCGCTTGGAAGTGCCGCGACTAGGGGCGTTGTCCTGTTGCACCGACTCCGACTCAGATTCTTCCACATCCGATGCACTCTTGATTGTGTGCAGGGCGTTGCTGAGGTCGACAGTCTCCGTGCGTGCTTTGTCCCACTTGCGGGTGACATGTTCGTAGTACGAGTAGTACATGAAGATAGAGCCCTTCGCGTTGTTGTGGCAGAGCTGGAACAGGGGAAACTTCTTGCGCAGCGCGGTGTAAAAAAGCTCCTGTAACCATATGTCAGTGTCACGCCATTTCTTAGGGAGCTCGTATTGAGCCGTCCGGGCGAGGTTGATGAAAGTGCGGCAAAACTTCCGGGCGTCATTGATGTAGTCTCCCTCGGCAGGAGTGCCGTCAGGGTACTCGATGTAGGGAGCGGTGTGGTTGATCCCCTTCGAGGACATTGCCTTGCCTCGCACAGGTTCCTCCCCAATCCGCGTGGTCTTGTTGTTCTCGCGCTTCCACTCGTTCCAATCTCGGACGGTAAAAAATTTGAGCTGGGTCAACGGCAGGAGGAGTGATATCAGGAGATGTTTGGATGATTGAAACTGTGAAATACATACTTTCGGGAACTTTGTTTGGTCGCGCGGACAGTCATAGCCTGGCGGCTCTCCGTCCTGAAGCGACTGTGTCGCCACCACAGATTCGAGGAGGAGACGTTTGAGAATTGCTGTGGGGGATCAGGAGACAACCGTCATGCATGTCTTGTAGGCGTACCTCGGCTGTCGTCGGTATCATTGGTGACATTGGCCGGCTTCTTGTCTCCCCTGGTTGGGTGCCATGGTGAGCACGATGTCATTAATTGGTAACCTACTCACTTGGATTCTTTGAACTGCATGCGGAACGCGTGAAATTGTTGACTGCAGGTGTACTGTGTCAGCGGGGCCATGGAAAAAGTGCGAGCCGACATACCGTAGCTCCAGGTTTTCTTGGGCGACGCCGGTAAATTGTCGGCTGCAGGGATGCCGGGTCAGCAGGGCAATGAGAATAGTAGCACGCCGACGTACCGTAGCTCCAGGGTGTCTTGTTCGAGGCGTTGGAGCCGCGCGCCCATTTCCATATAGGGCATGGAAGAGTGAGAGGGTGTGAGGGGCGATGAAAGCGAAGTGTTCTATCGAGAGGTTAGTATATGCGCGTCATTTGGTACTCCAAGACAAACCAAAGATGATAACGACTGCATATATGCGCCGTGCTGATCGATTCCAGGGGAAAACAAACTATGAGGAGTGTAGGTAGGGGATACTTTGGAGGCTGAGGTGTACTCAGCGGAAAGAGCAAAAGGGTGGGCCCCTTCTGCGCGATATGAGGGGGCGGGAAATGAGAACGACTGGCTGAATGGAGATGCATGCGAGCGTGATTGGGAAGAATAAGCATTTTCAGCATGGGCTCGGCGGTAAACGGATTGAGAGCGAGAACGAGACGGTGACCGAGAATGTGATTCAGAAAGTGAATGAGAGCGTGATGGAGCAAAGTCATAGGTACACGGCTGTGATGGAGGAGGAGGCGAGGGAGTATGGGACTGTTCGGACATTTTTTGTAAGGGAGGATATGGACTGGTTGAGAGGAGGAAAGTAGACATAGGACGCACGACGTCTCTCTGGCATGGTTTGACGCCCATGACCATATCAGGTGTGTGCGTGGCTTGTTCATTGCATTAATGGGATCTGCATGATTGTCGTCTTCGCGCCTTCTATGATTTGCCTCTTCTGACCTTCACTGGTCCAGCCCGTTTTGTCGCCATATATCTGCTGACTTGTTGCCCCATGGATGCCATCCACTTCATCCGCCGTCTCGCGGCTAACGGTCAACCCTATCCAGCCGACACACCTCGTCCAGTCATAGACTTTCTGATGGCCACGGAGGTGGACGGCACTCATTCGGACGATACGCGGTATGTCACGCTCAGGGAAAATTTCTGACTAGATCTCTCATTTCCGTCAGTCCGAATGGCAGGCATCACAGTTTGCGTTACTTCCTGGAGGCCTTCGAATTGTTCCCTGCGACTCCACCAACATCGGATGCACCCGCCTGAACTCACCTGACGTACAACCTCCTCCGCTTGGCACTTTTCTGCGCGCGTGAGGCGTTCCTTCTTGATATCGCGGACTCTGGCCGGGCTGAATCACTGGACTACACCACCGCGGGCCCACTGTATTTGGAGCTGGATGACACGTTTGGAGACGTTTTGTCGAGTCTGTTTGATGCCAGTCCTTTAGGCGGGCTATTGGATGAGATTTGGTGTGCGATGAAATGCATATGTTTCCCATTTGACACTGATGTATTCACTCCTCCTGGCTCCATCGTCTCGACCGAGTGTAGCCCGCCATCTGACGATGACCCTACCACTAGCCTTCGCCCTGCATGTGGTCCTCTTCCTGCCCCTCAACCTCCCTGTGACTCTCTCTCTTTCGATTCCCGTAGGCCTCTCGACCTTAGCCTCGCTCCGCCTCGTGTTGTCTCTCCCGCAAAAGTCTCTGTATCTGTATCTCGCCCAGGCCCCGCCAAAGTCTCTGTTGCACCGGCCTCCATTAGGCCTCCACCTGTACCTCTGTCAAAGTCTCTAGTCCCTGATTCTGCTCGCCCACGCAAACGCAAGCTCAAGACATCGCGTCCTTCTGGCCCACTGCAACCATTCTGTTCGTCTGGATGGGGCGAGCCGAAGTCTCCGCCCTCTTGCTCCTCAACACCACAAATGCCGCCCCCACACGCTCCACCGCCCAGGCAGCGGTCCCCATGGGAGGACTACAGTACGTCCTCTTCTGGCTTTTCCCTTTCGCGCCGCCTCTAGTATGTACACGTTCCCACTTCTTTCGCGCCGCCCACGCACGCGCTGTTCAATGTGAGGAGATTCACGTAGCCTTCAATTGCATCTTGTGTCCCTACATATCCTGTATGCGATAGGGTGTATACAAATCCATATTGTATATTGTCACCAATGGCGCCATGACCGCCACATTGCATTGCCTTGGGACATCCAGTCCACCTGCCCTTCCTTGCCCTCAGGACCACCGAGGTCGCTTTGGTCGCTCCCGCGCGGACTTCGAGACCGATTGTCCACTCGATGCAAATCGGATGTCGACCAGAAGTCGGAAGAGAATCCATCTCGTCAGCCCAAGGTATGACGATGGGAAACGGTATATCTGGGGATCCACTCATTCGTCTCCTGCTGATCCATCGTTGTCGGTGATGGTCTGCTCGCGCCCGATCCAGGTTATGTCGAACCCCAGCCTGTCCATAACAAAGAAACGATTGGAATACAGCTCGGCGGCGTGCGGATCTTCAGCTTCCTCGCGACGGGGAGGGAGAGGTACCATAGCGACTACTGACTTGATGTCCTTGGCATCAACGACCTCGCGAGACTCGTCTCCTCGATAACGACAGGCGATGAGTGCGCCATGTGACTCACGCACAATAGCAGGGTCCGGGGGCGTAAACATCGACACCATGGCCAAAGTGAGATCAACGTCGTCCGTGCCGCCATCGTCTCGCATCTTTTTCAACCTAAAAAAATACTGGACCTCCGCGATACGATTGTCTGTAAGCTGGACATTCATATTATTCAGTAAGATTAAGCTCTGACAGTGAAAACATGATGCGCACCTTGACCATGCGCGAGCGATGCACTGGGCGACCGCGCCTCTCACCCTCCTTCTCCTTCCAGGCAGTGCGTGCAACTTGCCCGTTGGGGAGACGTAAACGTCCCCACTTGGCGACACGAGGCTGCCAGTCCTGGGGCACCCGAACGGCCTGAGCGTTGAGAAAGGTGTGCAGTACAACGGCCTCGGCTTCAGAGATCAGTTTGGGAGTGCGCGCAGTGGGATGGAGGAGAACGTATTGGTCACCGAGATCCACAGCCCCGGCGGGCAGGTGCACGGGCTCCTCTAAAGCCTCGGGGAACATGGCTACCAGGGCGCTGATTTGCGCGCGCCGGAGTCCACGGAATGACAAGTTTTCGTACGGTTTGGAATGAGAGCCTATCTCCGCAGTTAGATTTCCAATAGCGTTTTCGAGAGCCCACTGTGAATGTAACCAGGCAGGTCCCACACGGACATTCTCCGGCATGAGGTGGACAAGGGCATGCAAGGCTTGGCGACAGAAGTGGAGACGATCCACACGTCGCGCATAGAAGTTTAGCTCGAACTCTTCAACGTATTCGACTAGAAGATTGTGTGCGGGTCCCCGACGCTCCACAGGGGTCTCGAGAAGCAGCGCGACCCGAGCCCCTGCGACAAGCTTGCAAAAATGGCTATAATACTTCGGTTTTTGGATCGCCCACAGCAGACCAGGTAGAAGCCCATAGAAGTAATACATGAATTCCCAGGCCTTGTAGCCACTCGAGATCTTCTCTGCAGGGTTACGCGGCGGGCGATCAAAAGAGCCAGGGAGATAGAGAGATGCCTCAGCAACCAGCTTCCCATGAGCCTGCCAAGCAGCGTCGCCCGACAAGCACGCCCAGTCCCAGTCAGCCAAAGGATCCGTCTCAGTTGATCGCCCCAGTTTGCCCCGAAACAAGCCGATGACCAGCTCAGTGATATTCAAGGTAAGCAGATGCATAATGTCGGCAGGAAAAGTCCCAGGGAAACCATAGTTGATAGGAAGTCCCATGAAGATCGACGGCTTCGCGATACCTGTTTCGAGGCGCTTCGCGACATATTGACCATGGGTGCGACAGGTGAGAAGCTCCGACAACTGACGTTGATAGCGTTCGGTGTTGGTCTCCTCTCCGGGGGGCTCACGGACTGAGTAGTCAGGGTGGGTGCTCCCTCGCACATGCTCGTAGTCCGGGTCCGAAGGTTTCAGCATGGCAGCATAGTAGTGTCACAGCCAACGAGCTGTGCCACCAAAACAAACAAGGGCAAAGCTTACTGATGCAGAGGTTGGTGCTGAGAAGCGAAGCAACCAGAGGTGACACAGCAAGAGATGTGAAGAGATGTATTCCCTAGACTAGAAGGGGTAGTGAGGAAGGTAGGGCTGCTAGCTACCTACAGAGGAGATGGGGAATCGACGAGAAGATCAAGTCTGAGGTTCCCTGCCTCAGACTCCCTACTATATATACTAATACAATGGTGCACAGACCAGGTACCTATTGACCATCGTTTGGTCAGAGTTCTCTGCCTCATGTCCTACCCTCTGACCTGCCTCATGGTGACCTTACGACTAATACCTGAGTCGTGCCGAGTCCGGACCCCTCCCAATGAGTAAGCGCTCCTGCTGTCACATCAGTCACCTGTCTGTGAGTGAGGATGGGCGCTCCTGGCCATCACGAGGTCTGGGGTTCGATCCTGGCCCCTCCACTTTCCGATACGAGTTGTCCGCGGTCAAGGTGAGCGTCTGTCTCAGTACACATGACCCCCAGGTCACGTGGCACGAGAAAACTGTGACAGAGCTCTTGGCAATCATCCGAGCCTTGGAGGAATACCGGCACTACCTGGAGGGACACCCTGAACTAATTGAGATCTGGTCAGACCATCTCAACCTCATCTACTTCCGACAAGCACAGAAGCTCACACGCCGACAAGCCCGATGGAGTTTATTCATGTCCCGCTTCAACTTCGTTCTGAAGCACCGACCTGGAAAGACAATGCTACGAGCCGACCCTCTGTCCAGGAGGCCAGATCATGAAGAGGGGGTAAGCAGTGATAACTTTGGACAG